TAAGGGTTATTTAATTTAATGGTTTAAAACTAATAGTTTGTGACTTTGTCTAATCTATAGTTGATAATTATTATTATTAATAATTGAAATATTTTTATTTATTAAATTAAACAAAATCGGTAATCACTAGTTTCAAATAATTATATTAAACAGTCCAAAAGTCATGGTAGGATCGAAAGTAGGTTGGAACTTGTACAAGTGGAACCTTATAGCCTGGTGATATTCCATCAATTCATCCTGCTACTCATAGAGTAAAGAATGATCAATTGTTAATTGAACTGCTAACAACTCATCATTATATGTCATCAAATTTGTAAGCGGGCTTAAATTACCACAGTTTCAACTGTTCAAATATGATGCCCGTGAATTCTTTACTTTTGCAATAAGAATGAGCTCAAAACAATTTCATGGCCAGCAAATGTGTCACGACTTGAGTTTGAATTGCAATATGGATTGTGGCAATATGAGCATCATAGGTTCTTATTAGTTTGATCACCATGAATTAAGACATACAGCATTCCATCAGGGAATAGAAAGTCCACAAGATCGAAATCATAAGCCCTATCAATGAGGGTCCATTCTTTATCCTCTAGCCTGCAAAATGCTAAAAACTATAATCAAATATCCTTGCAACTATGAATCCGGAGCCATCCATAGAAAATACTAGGAATTTCCTAGTCTAATGAGGAGCATTTTGGAAATTGGTTTCCCCGCAATAAGCAGAAACGGGAAGCTCAATATGCAATCTTGAGATCAGGTCCAATAGTGAAATCTTGAGGAATTGATTTACAGTTTTTTTTTTTTTAATGACAATCGTGCTACTACAAGACTAATATAATGGATGGCGAGTTTTTTTGGGCCATATTCTACGCAGTTTGGGTTTGACCACTGTGTGTCAATTTGTGTCAATAATTCGATGTTGTTACTTGTTAGAATTGGAGGGAGTTTATCACACAGAGTTCTCAAGGTCAATGTGGATGCATCTTTCTCTCCAAACTCGAGAGTTGTTGCGTTGGCTATGGTTGGACGCAACTCATTTGGAGAAATTTGTCTTGGAAACAACTGGCCATGTATGGCTTTATACCCACTTATGGCTGAGCCACTTGCCATGATTAAAGCTGTCCAGTTTGTTGCAAATATGGGAATTCACTCTGTGATCTTTGAATCGGACAGCCGGCTCGTAATCTCATGCATGCAGTAGCTTGAGAAACCCATTCCATGGGAAGCTAAATCTATGATTATTAGCATTAGACAATTATGTAATAGCCATATTGATTTTTGCTTTTGTTATGTTCTTAGGGAAGGCAACAAAGTAGCTGATTGGGTGGCCAAAACAACTCTGAAAGGCCAATGCCCATGGTACTGGACACATAGGCCCCCTAACTTATTGCTTTTGTTACTTTTGCAGGATGACATGTCTACTTAATGTTATCTCTACTGTTATATATATAAAGTTCATATCCTTAAAAAAAAAAAAAAGAATTGGAGGGAGTTTTTATTGTGAATTTTTCCTATCGGTAAATGCTTCATTTTCACATTCATCTTCTTCCATATTATAACTCCTCCTCATTAAAGAGTCATTTTTTACTATTAAAGGGTCATTCATGATCCCATTAAAGGCCATTCAAGGGTTCATTAAGGTGCCATTCATTCTTTCATTTAATTATATTTAATGACTAATGTAACCCACACATGTTCCTTAACCTATATATAGACTTATAAGTTTGTATGGTTTATACATGGAAAAGTACATAGTGAACTAAGAAATTCTCTCTTTTGTTTGCTATCTTACTACATTTTCTCTTGTTTTATAATACGTTATTACCATGATCATTTTTACCATTCAATTTATGGTAAGCTCTTAAGGTATACCCTTTGTTTTCTCTTTTCAATTTAATTTCATTATCTAACGAATTTTTGTAGCCATAATATCAAACTTGACAAAACATGAATTTGTTGCTTTTGATATAATATGCTCTAATTATTTACCATGGATACTTAATACTGAAATCTATTTGGTTGCAAATAATCTTGTTGAAGGAAATTAAATATCTTTACAACATTGTGCTAAAGCGTTGATATTCCTTTGTCATAATCTTCATGAGGGATAGCAGGCTAAATATTTGATAATCAAATATCCATTTGAATTATGGCAGACTTTGAAAGAAAGATATGATCACCAAAAATTGATGATATTGCCAAAAGCTCGTTATGAATGGATGTAGCTTCAATTGCAAGATTTCAAATCTGCAAGTGAGTACAACTTCGCAGTATTTCATATTTCATCTTAGTTAAATTATGCGAAGAAAAAATTATTGATGAAGACATGGAGAAAACATTCTCCACTTTTCATGCCTTGAGTTTACTCTTTCAACAACAATATCAAGTGTATGGCTTTAAAAAATATTTAAATTTGATATCATATCTTCCTGTTGTTGAACAAAATAATGACTTTTTGATGAAAATCATTAGTCATGACGTATTGGTTCAACCCCATTACTTGAAGCAAATGTAACATCAAATAATAATAATGGGTGTGGCTATGACAGTCATCGTGAATATAATCGTGGCAATAACTGTGGTCGAAGGCATGCTAGTGGTTGAAATAATGCTTAGCATGGCAGTGATTTTAGCACCAAATATGAATTTGCTAAACAAAAGATGTAAAGGGTAGCAATTTACAAAAGAACCTTACAAAAAATCTTAAAAGTTTTTGTTACCGATGTGGATTAAAAGGACATTGAGAGCATGATTGTCACACTATTAGGCATTTCGTTGATTGTTACCAAATCTCACTTAATGAAAAAGGAAAAGAAAAATGAAAAGGAAAATATTCAAAAATGAATTTCATTGACCATAACAATATGGATCTTGATATACATCTTAATATTGAAGATTTTTTCGAACGTGTTGAAAAGTTTAATGGTGTTGGTGATATTTAATCAAAAATTTGACTTATTATGTCCTCTTAAATAACTTGTCTTAAGTGGCTATTTTCCTTTTTTATATATAACATCTTTTTTATATTTAATAAAAGAATAAATCATTTCATAATAGATATTAAATATTATTTGTCTCTTATATTTTATTTGTCTTTATTTAAAACAAAATGGACTTAGATGATACTAAAATGAATGATGGAGACCTATGTTTTATTGATGGTGGCACAACACATACCATCTTAAAAATCTTGAAAAATAAGAATTATTTTTTTCCATTAAAATTAGCTGAGGCTAATGTTTATATAATATTTGATATGGCAAAATTGATTGAATGCTCTGAAAAGGCTTGTATTTTATTGCTGAAAGAACAAAATTATTCATACAAAATGCTCTATATTCTAGTATATCAAATCGAAATCTACTAAATTTTAAGGATATATATTATAATAGTTTTCATATTGAAACCATGGATGAAAATGGAAAAGAATTTCTCCATGTCACCACTTTGGTATTTGAAAAAATGAAAATATTAAAGAAATATTAACATTCTCTTTTGGATTGTATTACACATATATACATCCAATAGAATCTAATATTGTAAGTAATCAAAAAATAGTTAATCTAAATGCCTTCATCTTTTGGCATAATTGAATTGGTCATTCAAGTGCTATTATGACGTGGAGAATTATAGAAAATTCATATGGACACCCATTAAAAAACTTAAAAATTCTATTATCAAGTGATTTTTTATATGTTGCTTGCTCCCTTGGTAAATTAATTACTAGACCTTCTACAACTAAAATAAAAAATGAATCTCCTCCATTTTTTGTAACGGATTTAACTTCAAGGAGATATTTGTGGACTAATAAATTTGCCATCTGAACCATTTCGACATTTTATGGTGTTGATAGATGCTTCAACAAGATAATCACATGTTTGTCTATTATCTACATGCAATATTACATTTGCAAAGTTTGCACAAATAATAAAATTGAAGGCACAATTTCCTGATTATACAATAAAAATGATCCAACTTGATAATGCAAGACAATTTATATACCTATTATTTAATGATTATTGTATGTCAAGTAGAATTATTGTTGAGCATCTAGAGTTCCTCATATATATATACAAAATGGTTTGGATGAATATCTTATTAAGCGTTTGTAATTAATTATAAGACCTCTACTTATGAGATCAAAGTTACTCTTTTCTGCTTAAGGTCATGCTATATTGCATGCTACAGTATTAATTCAATTAAAGCCAACTGCTTATCATAAGCATTCATCATTACAGATTTACAGCTTGTTTCTAGGATTGAATCAAATATATCATATTTAAATATTTTTTGTTATGCTGTATATATTTCTATTATGCCTACATAACGCACTAAAATGGGTCCTCAAAGAAGACTGGGAATTCATGTTAATTTTGAATCACCATTGATAATTAAATATCTTAAACTAATGACTGGTAATCTTTTCATAACAATATTTGTTGATTGTCATTTGATGAAAATTTGTTCCTAACATTAGGAGGGAGGAACAAAAGTTAAAAAAAAAAAAGAAAAAAGAATTAACTTGGGATACCTTATCTATATCTCATTTAGACCATCAAATAGGTCAAAGTGAATTAGAAGTTTAAAAAATTATTCATTTTCAAAAAATTATAAATCAATTACCAAATGCATTCATCGATGCAAAAAAAGTAAGGTTTAAGTACCATTTTGGTCCCTTAACTTTTCACTTTGGTACCAAAATTGTCCTTCAGCTTTAAAAAGTACCAAAATTATCCTCAAACTTTCATTTTTGGTACCAAAATAGTCTTTCCGTAAGATAAATGACAGGTGGCACGTTAAAATGCCACAAAATCAATTCTTTTTTTGCTTGACTAATGACATGAAAAAAAAACAAACACAATTGGCCATCTTTTTTATGAGGTGGCATTTTTATTTAATTTAAAAATTTTGATATTCTTTTTTCCATCCACGTCATCTTTTCTTCCTCTTTCACTTTCTCTCTCTTTTACCTTTCCTTTTCCCTTTTCCCTTGCCTCTGCAAACCCAGACCTGCTCATGATCGAAGATGTCTCCTGAAAACCTCTCATCATTCTCACTGCTAAACACTAATGTTGTTCCTCAGAGAATTCCCTAAATCCTTCGCAATCTTAAATAGCCCCAGATTTCTTCAAACCCATCTGCAAACACCATTTTCGATTAGATTTATCTCTGCAAATGCAATAGATAAACACTCATTTACAATCTCCTATCTCATGAATTCATGTGGGTTCTCTCTCCAATCCGCTCTTTTACTTTCCAAAAGAGTTCAATTTGAAACCCAAAAAGCCCCAAAATCGCTCATTGACTTCTTGAGCAATCATGGGTTCTTGCAAACCCAAATCCGAAACTTCATCCAAAACTGTTCGAACTTTCTTTTGTGCAATCCTGAGAAATTTCCCCTTCCTCTTTAGATCTGTGTTTGACTTCATCTTCTCTTCAGATCTGGGTTTGATTTCATCTTTTTCTTCATTCCTTTCGTTTCTCATCCTTCTTCTTTTTTCTTCTTATTCTTTCTCTCTTTCGTCTCCCTTCTTCTTCCTCTCCAGATCTGGGTTTGAAACCCAGATCTGGGTTCTCACATCTATTACAATCCAATCAACATAACACCCAAAATCTTCGATACCTCCCTGCAATGGTGTATTCACAGACCTGGTTGCTCCTCCAGTTTGGGCCATAAAAAGTCGACCTTGGTGGAGAGACAAGCACCCGAGGCGATGGCAACAGTTGTGATAGCAACGTGGGTGATGGTGGAGGCAATGGCATCCGCTGTGCCAGCGACGTGAGTGATGGTGGAGGCGATCGCAACGGCTGTGACGGTGACGAGCGAAAGGCCTGTTCAACAAGCCTAAGAAAACCCAGATCTGGGTTTTCAAACCCAGATCTGGAGAGGAAGAAGGGAGAAGAGAGACTCTGATTTTGATTTTGATTTTGGAGAGAAAGAATAAGAAGTATGATCTGATTGGTTTTTAGGGTTTTTAATTTGAAAAGGAAATGAAAGGAGAAACAAAGAAAACTGATTTTTGGGGAATTTGATTGAAACTGGAAAAAGAGAAAAAAAATTTATGTGGGTCCCATTAAAAGGAGAAACTAAGAAAATGATAATATGACGTGTAAAAAAATGTCACGGTAAAAAAATGCCACCTCATAATAAAACATATCCAACTATATATTTTTTTTCCATGTCATTAGTTAAGCAAAAAAAAAATTGATTTGTTGGCATTTTAACGTGCCACCTGTCATTTAACTGACGGAAGGACCATTTTGGTACCAAAAATGAAAGTCTGAGGATAATTTTGGTACTTTTTAAAGCTGAAGGACAATTTTGGTACCAAAGTGAAAAGTTGAGGGACCAAAATGGTACTTAAACCAAAAAGTAACTAGTTCCATATTCTAACTTTGAATTCTCCAACTTGAACTAATATTTTCGTTGAAAAGAGTGCCAAAATAGTATAAAATGAATCTACTATACACCAAAAGCGTGGTAGACTTGTCGATAAAGATAAAAATCCAAGAATGAAGAGAAAGCAAAATGCTGGTTTCATTAAAATTGTAGAGACTCAAAAGTTCTCTAAATAACAATTAGAAAATGCATCTAAAGAAATAATCTCAGAAAAGGTTGAAGTACTTGAAAACAATGAAAATGCAGAAATTATAGATAATGATAAAATCTTAATAAATTATATTTCCATTGGGTTAATGTGGAATTGAAATGATGTTGTCATTGATGATGTTTTTTTGCATTTGCAATAGGAAATGATATAATTAATGAAAATAGAGATCTTGAACAAGGTTATTAATATCGTACCGTACTTATCAATATGGTTCAAGATCCGAAATCCATTGAAGAATATCAACAAAAAAGTGATTGACAAAAATAAAAACATGCAATTTAGGTATAATTGAAATCATTAGAAAAACACCAAGTTTTGGGACCAATTGTTCAAATACCCAATAATGTAAAGTCTGTTAGTTATAAATGGGTGTTTGTGAGAAAACGAAATGAGAAAAATAAAGTTATGAGATACAACACTAGACTTATAGCTCAAGGCATTACATTAATACTTGGCATTGATTATGGGGAAACATATCCTCTTGTGATGGATGGAATTACCTTCAGATTTCTACTAAGTTTAGCAATTTCTAAAGGCCTTTAAATGTGCCTCATAAATGTTGCAACTGCTTACTCATATGGATCACTTGACAATGACGTTTATATGAAAGTCCGTGTTGGACTTAAAATGCCTAAAGTGTACACTCAACATGAAAAGATATATTTTTAATAAAATTAAAACGATCTTTGTATGGGTTGAAACAATCAAGGTGAATGTGTTACAATCACCTAAGTGAATATCTCCTTGAAAAAGGATATGAAAATAATCCTATTAGCCCATGTGTCCTTATCAAGAGGTCAAAACTTGGTTTTGTTATCATTGCCGTATATGTTGACGATATAAATAATATTGGGACACCTAGAGAGCTTGAAAAGATAGTTCAATGTTTAAAGAAATAATTCAAAATGAAATATCTTAGAATAATAAAATTCCATCTCGGTTTACAAATTGAGTACTTATGAAATGGAATTTTTGTCCATCAACTAAATTATGTTGAAAAGATATTGAAAAGATTTAATATGGACAGATCTCATCCTTTAATCTCTCCAATGGTTGTTTGATCCATTAATGTAAAGAAAGATCCTTTTCGACTTCGTAGAGATAACGAAAAAATCTTTGGTCTTGAAGTGCCATATTTAAGTGTCATAGGTACATTGATGTATTTACCTAACAATATGCAACTTGATATTACATTTTCTATGAATTTGTTAGCAATATATAGTTTTGCACCAACATAGAGACATTGGAATGGCATAAACATTTATTTCATTATCTTCAAAGAACAAAAGACATGAAATTATTTTACTTAAAACACTAAAAACCAAAGTTAATTGGATATGTAGATGCTGGATATTTGTTTGATCCACATAAAAGGATATCACAAATTAGATGTTTGTTCATATATGATGGTACCGTAATTTCTTAGCATTCGGCCAAACAGGCCATTGTTGCCACATCCTTAAATCACTGAAATTTGATTGTCTTATATGAGGCAAGTTGGGAATGTGTATGATTGCATTCTTTGATCTAGCATGTTCAAGAAACACGTGATCTTAAAGTAATTATAGGAAATTCAACCCTATTATACAAGGACAATATTGTATGCATTGCACAAATAAAGAAAGGATTCATCAAAGGAGATAGAACCAAACATATTTCTCTAAAGTTTTTCTCTATGCATGAACTTAAAAATACTAGTGAAATAAATGTTTAACAAATTAGTTCAAATGAAAATTTTGTAGATCTTTTCACAAAGTCATTGCCTACCAAAGTTTTTGAACAACTTGTACACAAAATAGACATGCGACGTCTTAAAGAGTTTTATTAAATTGAAAAGGAGTATTATATGTACTATGCACTCTTTTTCCCTTTACTATGGTTTTTACCCCACTGGGTTTTTCTAACAATGTTTTTAATAAGATAGTTTAAAAGCGTATAACACAAAAATGTGAGCATTCAATGGGGAGTATTGTTAATTTTTTCCCATTGGTGGATGCTTCATCTTCACATTCATCTTTTTTAATGTTGTAACTCCTCACCATTTAGGGATCATTCCTCACCATTATCTGGTCATTAATGATCCAACTAAAAGTTGTTCAATAGTCTATTAAGGTGCTATTTATTCTCTATTTTAGTCATATTCATTAGTTAATGTAACCTTCACATGTCCTTATAAGGCTACTAATTTACATGATTTACACATGGAAGAGTATATGGTGAAATTAGAAATTTTCTCTCTTATTTGTTACCTTACTACTTTTTTTCTTATTTTATAATAGTTCTAAATTTTTAATTAATTTTTTTCTTTTTATTAATGTTTTTATAACAATGAAAATTAAATTTATTAATAAATAAATATTATTTTATAAATCAAATATAATAATTAATATTTAAAAATATTGATTTTTTAAATATATCAAGCTAACTAATATAAAGACTACACTCTTAACATTATTTAAAAAATAATTAAAATAAAAATACACAAAATCTAATCTAGAAATACCCTCACCTTCTCCCCTTAAATATAAAAAATAAATAAATAAACAAATCTCCATAAGTTTATAGCTACGATTCATGAGAAACCATCAAAATAACTAGAAAATTTTATGACAAATTAGAAATTAATAATGATAAATACAATTAAAATTTGAAACGAAAATATAAAATTAATAACACTATATAAATTGCATTCTTTAAAATATTAAAAAATAAATTATATATTATTTAATAATTAATTTTTTATTTTATTAAAATCCATATTATCAACTAATTTAATAATATAATATAAACTCCATCCTCTAGTTCCAAATTTTTCACCCTCGTTATCATTACTTGTTAGAAACGTATAAAACAATCTCTACAGATGAACTTCCAAACCACTAAAAAAAAAAAAATACACTTAATGGGGTTTAATTTAAAGGATACAAAAGAAAAACAAAAAGAAAAACTCCATGAATACGAAACATAAAACCCGGACTCCAGGGGATGAAGGGTGTCAATGCAATCGGGTGAGTTCTTCAACTCTCTTGCACAGCTCCTCTACTGAAACATCCATTGCCTTGGAAATCTCTTCCATCTTGCCACGGCTAAGATCAAGGAACGACTCGATCAAGTCCCCATCCAGGAAATTTTTGGCATCTACAGTTTTCTTCTCATTGTTGAATGACCTCCATTGCTCGTGACTCAATCCTCCAACACCCTTGATCACCTTTCTCAAGTTTGACTGAAGCTTCTCCAGGAAGAGGTATTGATCATGAGGAAGTGATGCAATGACACCAATGACACCATTAACTGTGCCAAATATAACAGTGGGAATCTGGCCCACGTCGGAATCTGGCAATCGCATCACCAGTGAACCATGGCGGAACCGGTTAATGAATTCTCCAAGGTGGTACTCACCAACCACTTCAAGACGGCCACGTTCCTCATCAGTGGCGCCTTCACTATTCTTCCTTACTGTGAAGAGATTGAAGTTATTTTCAGCACCAAGGTAAATGTCATCATCAAGAATCTCAACAGCTGACATCCAATTTGCATTATAATCGCGGGCTCGCTCCTCGATTGCACCTTCCTCATGCTGAAATCACATGATGTGTTAACTAATAAGAAAAAGGATAACTACAGGAACAAACAGATTTCAGAAACTAAAATAATGGAAGAGTATAAATTAAAACCCGTGCATGTACAATGGTAGGGTATAAATTAAAATATACTATGATTTAACATGAGTAAGTTGGATATAAAAGAGCTGTAATTACTTGCCTTGTAGATCAGCAGGGAAATAGATTTCATCAGATCACCAACAACAATGAAGTCTCCACGAGTTTGTACAAAGAGGGCAAGTATGTGCCCATGGTGTCCACATTCTGACTGCAATTCACGAGTACCATCTTCCCGGGCCTGCCACTTGAACAATTGGATCTTTTGGTTAATAGCAGCCAGTAGTTTGCCATTGAAGGCATTCAAAGAGTAAACTGCCCCCTTGGTTTCCTTCTCAGTGATAAGCTGCAGCTTCCCATCTTCAACAATGAACACCAAAATTCGACCCTATAATCATAATCATTAACACATGGAGTAACAGGGCGAGAATGAGAAATTTTAAGTAAAAATTTCAATATAAAAATACTTCAATCAAAAGAGTTGCAAAAAGGAGATGTCACCTTGGATGGCTCATTTTCCTCTGGTATAACATATGCAGTCCCAACACAGTAATATACATTACTGTCATCAGAGAATGAGCAGCTAAGTATGGAGCAACCATACTCATAAGCATCAAGAGCATAAGTTGATATGAACTCAAAAGTTTGGTCATCTAACAAGCGGATAAAATGCATTTCAGATTCTTCACCACTAGGCTGGTTTTTCAAACTGCATATTGCAAAGGTCCGAGACTGTTCCTGATGGCAAATACGGCGTGCATGCTCCCCAAGAGGGATAGAGCGGATATGAAGCTTCTGGATATCATCAATGGTACCAATTGTAAGTTCACCTTCTTTTGCAATTGCAAGGCTGTCAACAAAAGAAACCACCATTATTGCTCTCAGCCCCAAATTCTCCAAGCAGAAAGGATGAGAATATGAATGCCAACCCCTCATATTGTGTAGTCTTAAATACCTACCACAAGCCAGTTTTAATAATTTTAATTTCTAACACGCAGATGCAATTTAAGGGGAGGGGTTTACCTGTCTGGAAAAGCAGCAGAGTTGAAAGGGCACATATGACTCACTTCCTTTAGATTGACATTGCTGTAGAGTAGTTTCTTATTACTACTATAGATAACAGTTGGTCTATCAGATGCTGCAAATACATGTGTGGTATTCTTGGAGGAGAAAGTACGAAGGGTTATGGGTTGGGTCCCAAGAGACACCTTTTTCCTATCTGTTAACTCACCAGTACTCATGTTCAATTGGAAGTTCAAAAGATGACCATCTCCAAGGGCACATAACAAGTAAGATATCTGAAAGGAGAAAACAATTGACATTATCAATGGTGGATATAAGAAAGTAATAAGATACAACAGGAAGATGGCATCAGCAACACAAGATGACATGTTCTCAAGGTTCCGCTTTTAGGTCACTTTGACATCAATTTTGACCCCATTCCTTGACAATTGAACAATCATCAGCACTATATAATATAGCAGAGATCTGAACAGAAGATAAATAAAAAAAATTTTAAAAAAAATCTGAAAGCTAAAAAGAGCTCTAGATGCATACCCCTTCAAAAGAGCAAAGAAGAACAGAGCGAGGAATTATCTCTCCTCCTAATTGCTCCTTTGTGACAAGATTCAGGTCAGGGAGTGAGAATACCCTCACACTAATATCCGTCCACATTCCAACAGCAGCAAGTTGACTGTAGTTCAGGTTATCACCAATAGGATTTATGTCAAGGCATGAGACTTCATACTCCAACTGTGCATGTTTTGCTTCAGTCAATATCCCATCACCAATTTCTAGGTAAACCAAATGGCCTCCTCCAGTTGCCAACAAAACCTGTCACACACAAAGACTAATAAATCCTTTTTTCTTTACAAAACAGTACCATATAAATAACAAGCTTGGCAAACCTTCAGTGAGTAAAAAGGAATAAAAGAAAAAAAAAAAAAAGAAGCCAGAATCTTTTGGCCTTGTATAAGCTAAAACTTGGGTCAGGCTTATATAATAATAAATATAATGAGGAAACCATAAAGTACAAATATGCCAAACCGCAGGCCATCTTGACTTGTTGATACTCCACTAAGTTCCAATAATAGAGAGAGAGAGAGAGAGAGAGGAGGGAGGGGGGGATGGAGAGAGGGAGAACCTGAGTAGCATTAGCAGTGGCAACATTAATCGAGTATCCTGATGGAGCATTCCATTCATTTCGCAGCACTCTAGACATAGAATGAACGAGTCTAACAGAGCTTGAAGTGACCTGTCAAGATTTTCAATCCGCAAGAATGCAGGTCTGATAATTATTTATCATAAGCAAACTAAACCCAATAGCCACAAAAATTCAACTCATTAAACCAGTTATATATTGAC